CCGCTCAATTTATGTATTGATATAAAAGATGTTGGGAGAATAGACGCAGAGAGATCTTCAGGAGAGATCTTCAGGAGGAAGAAGCCTGAGATGCCCTTTTCCGTAATAATGGTGTAAGTTATGTCTGGTTATTCCTTGAGCCTCCGTACCAGTCCAGTTAGGGAAAATAGATATTTGTGTTGGAGCCACATGGGCTCCAACAAAGACCCCTCTTTTCGTTATCCCTAACTCTGTGTCTCCCCCAAAACCTTTAGCTGTAGAAGCAGGTTTCCCTGTTGCATAGGACAATGGTGACCAAGATGGTCAAGTCCACTCCCTGTGACACTGTGATCTCTGAGTCAGGAGCGGTGAGTGGCTTGAGTGAACTCTGGTCCTGGCTGCCCCTCTGTCCCCTATCTGTTCTCTGCCTACCTTGAACCCTCCCACAGAAGCCTGTGTTCCTCCCTCCCCCCCCCCCACGCCTGATGGCTTACTCCCCTTGTTACTATAACCATCAATGGCTAAAGGCTGGAGAAGAAAAAAAAACACCAAGATATTTTCACACCACTTTCCTTCTAGAAGCGCAGAATTCAAAGAGGTAAGAAGTTTATAAATGATTATTAATTACTCCTGGTCACAGCTCATCAGTACCACAGTGGATCTATTGCATAGACAGCAATTAACAAAAGGCCTGCACCAAAGAATGCCAAGCCAGCTTGCTAGGACCACTCTCCAAGGGCACTCCACTAGGTAACCAGGTCTTACACAGCATCCTGCTGTCCCCGGTTCCCTAGAAAAAGAGGTTGTTGTCGCCAGCAGCCTCCAACGCTCACAATAAAGCCGGAGCAGAATCTGGCCCCAAACGTGCATTTGGATCATTTTCCAAATGTGCACTATTTGCTTGATAGTCCACAATGGCTTCTTAGGAAAACAAATGAGTAGGTTTCCACTAACCAGGGCGCGTTTCACCTGCCATGGGCACTGCTGTCAGAATCACCCAGTGTTCAGCACTGGCTTTCAGGCCACAGCATCCAAACACCCTTCTTCACCAGAACCTCGGCCCTAGAAGGCCAAATTCTCCAGGTCTTTTCATATTCCATACACTGCAGAGAGTCCCACTGAGTGATATCTAATGCTACCCCCACATGTCTCATCAAAATACTGCCCCCCTTCCCTACTAGAACTTTCTCTCCAAATTGCGTTCTTCCTCAAAACCCTAGTAACAAGTATTTCTCTCCATCTTGATAGCAGCAGAAAGGGACTGGTTCAAGGCAGCCTTATTTCCATTACTTTGCAGAGAGCCATGCTTTCTCTTTTGGATGTCAGGTGTTTGACGGCTCAGCATGGACCACATTCTCAGACTTCCTGGTCGTTGTCTCCCCCAGTCTCCTCCCTTATACCTTGTTTTCACAATGCTTCCCAGCTGAAGCCTACAAAAGCTGACTTCAGCAAGCCAGGAAGAAAAAGACTGACAACCTAAGAGTGAAGAAAAAGAAACGAGAGCGGGCTTCTTAAAAGAAATAGAATTCTTGATAAAGTTACGCACAGCTCCTCAAACAGAATGTAACAGGACAATGAAACAATATACTCATTGTTTTGTCCCCCCCCCAAAAGTGCATAATGATACCCAGAACCAATAAATTGTAATAAATTGTGCATGTTCATTTATTATTAATATGAGCATCAATTGGTGAAAGTGTATTAGAAGGCAACTGAATAGTCACCATCAAAAATTTAAGTGCACAGGTTTTTAATCCATGAGTATAGTTATAAAGTTTGCTGAAAGACAGAGGGAAGAATGTTCTTGGAGATGTTGTATTAAGAAATAAAACAAGAAACAGAGGAAGCACACATTGGTGGATATATTCTGCAAAACAAATACAGGACTACTATTCAACAGTCTAAAAGAAAATAAGTAAATCCATATACACAAGCACGGGGAGAAAGATCTCAAAGATGTATTATGAAGTAGAAACAAAACCAAAGTCCAGGCTGATGAGACAGCATAATCTCAGTAAAAAAAAGACATAACAGGCATGGAATGATCAGCTCAGGAGATAGAATCATAAGAGACATGTAGTATCAGATGCCTTTAAGCAGGGAGAGGAGGGCTTTGCTAGCCAGTGTGTGGGTTCTTGTTCTTACTTTGAGAGGCATGCAGCACTTGCTAATTAAATCTGAACAAAGTATCTGAGAAAGTAAGATTGCATTCACATTGTTTTTTTTTTCTTTTGTACCTCCCTAGAGTCCAAGGTCTGTCCTCAGCCGTTCTCAGCTCTCCCATCTACAGCACATCAGCCTGCCCCAGCAACACTGACCTAGACATAAACTCCCCTCCTGAAAAATGGGCATGGTATTTATCTATAAAAGTCTGAAAGGTACTTGAAACCCCCCTCCCTCTTGTTCTGGTCACATTAGTCTGAGTCAGCATCCTGGTGGGGCCTGCACAGAACATAAGTAGCAAATATAAGCCCCCCAGACATAAGCAAAGAGCAGTAACCAAGTCGGAGAGAGCATGGGCTGGGGCATTCTTTAAGTCACTTCTATAACCCACCCTTACAAACGGGTTCTCTTTTATGTTACCAGAATAGACACAGCTTGCTAAATGCTCAGATCTCTTCTTTTCCCACTTGACAATAGCCTGGGCTGGGTACCGGCAGTCGGTGACTGAGAGTGGAGTCTATAGCACATAGAAACTACGCAGCACAAACCAGCAGGGTCTCTTTCAGTCCTGGGGTATAGTTGTCTGGAATTGCACCTCCCCTGCCTGGGTCTTTCCTCGTGTTGAAACGCAAGCCTGCAGAGCTTAAACACTGCTTCCCACTAGCTTTCTTTAGCAAACTCTGCTGGATGTTTAAGGGCTTTTATAGGGAAAATGAAAACAAACTCCCAAATCATGAATGAGACTGGAGGTTACTTAAGGCAACCTACAACAAGGTGGACAAGTGTCCCAAGGTTATTAAAGTCCCAACCGGGTCACCACAACACAAGCCAGAGTGTGAAGATACATGCCCACCTGATGGCTACAAATCTACACGGCCAGGGAGAATTCACCCTTGGGTCCCCCAGGTCCTGCTTAGGTACACCCAGAGACGCAAGTCTTCACTTATCACTACCCCTGCCCCACCTAACAACTGGGAGCAGACACCATACAAGGAATAGGGAAAGGCATTTTTTGTTTTGTTTTGTTTTTTAAGACATAAAGACCTTAAACAACCAGACCCTGGTCCCCGGGCTAGCGAGAGTGAACATTTGTAGTCAAAAATTCCGTGAGTCGCTGAGATGAAGCTATGCCTAGACACTCCGGGCAGGTAACCAGCAGGAAGCTGGCCTCCAGAGACAGCTTTGCCACTTAAGATCCCGTAGCACTCTCGTCAACGCCCTAGGTGAGGACAGCCTAGCAAACAGGCCCTTTCTGGCGTGCGCTGGAGCCCAGGACGCAGCGGGCAGTTCAACTTGCTCTGGCTTTCTGGGATGTTAGCAAAACACCGTGAAAGATTGATGCGGGCCCCCTGGGTGGAGGAGCCCCGATTAGAGGCGTGACACCAGCATCTGTGCTGGGAGGACCAGGCGTCCCCGGGGCACCCATAGCCTCGGGCAGCGCGACCCAGGCGGAGAGGCAGGTGGCACCCGGGCGGAGGGACGGAGCTGGGTGTAGGGAGGGGGCTAAGGGCTCCCCTGAGCACTGCCATGCGGCTGCCACCTCGTGGGGCGAAGACCCCAACACCCATCAGTCCTGCTGCGGCCCCGGGTGCTTTTGCTGGCTTGGCCTGGCCAAACAGCCTGGAAAGCAGCGCTTACTCACCCTCTAGCTGTGGCGGGCAGTGGAAATAAAACATCGCCGACGGTCGGATGGGCCGGGACGGGTGGACCAGGGCTAGTGGCGGCCTGGAAGACCTGTTCCTGTGCGTGACTCCGGCCTGGCTGCAAAGCAAACAGCAGTAGAGCCTGAGTCTCCTGCCCGCTCACCCCGAGGATCACCGGGAGTGCCCCTCCTTCAAAGCCCTTCCAGAAGCCCTTGGCCCCCTGGGGCCACCGCGCAGCGGGGGAGGGGGATGTTGGAGGGAAGTGGTTGCACCCACAATCCCAAACCGTGACCCTACGGTCAGCCTTTCGTGTGGGTCCGACTGCTGGACAACCGCACCCTCACCAAGCTGGGCACAGCCTGGCTCCTGTTTCTCAGGGGTCCCGGCCGCAAGCCCTGCACTTGGCCACCACAGCGAGGTCAGGCGATCGCGCAAGGCCATCTAAACGCGCAGTAGCTCGGGCCAAGAAAGCCGGCGGAGCCCCAAGGCCCAGAGCAGGGAGCCGGGGGAGCGGGTCGGGAACCCTGCCTACCTCTGCGGGAGGCGGGCGAGAAGGCCCGAGTGTGCTCGCCTCTTGTCCGCACGCGGGGCTCGGCTGGCGGCGGGCGGGGCTTGGCGCTGCTGGCGCCCGCAGGACCAGAGAAGTGACTGGGGAAGTGGCCAGATGTCTTGCTGTCTGTCTACAGCGCGCGCCGCCGCTCAGCACTCGCCTTTATAATCTCACGCATAATTGGCCTTAATCTGATTATTTCCAGCGCTGTCTACAGCGAGTAACTTGGATAGGTCTATTGGGCCTTACAAATGGCCCACGTGGTGTAAAAAAAAAATCCGTCACTTCTCAGCATACATCAGGAATCTTTTTCTTCTTTTATTTTAAAAGAAGATAGAAACAACAGCTACTAATATCATTTCTCCCCAAAGAGATCATGTTCTAAACACTCGCCCCAACCCCACCCCTCTGGGTCCCCTCAGACTCAAACCTTCTTTCTCTGAGTGAGATTGGATTTGGGCTCGCCCTTGTCAGAGGCCTGGCGACTTCTGGACTGCAAAATTACCAAAGCGCTGCTAATTGTCGCCGCCGGATGGGTTTTGGGGGTACTCTCTGCACACGGCTTTCCTTTCCAAGCGATCGTACAAAAGGAAAGTTTGATTTTGTTCTCAGCAAGGGGTCCCTGAATTTATGTTCGCTTCTCCCTGCAAATGATATGCAGTGGGACCCTTCGCAATTACTTTTAAAATGCATCCGAGGCAGACACTCAGCGGAGAGAGACCGCCCTTCTCTCTGCCTGGGTGAAAATTAAACTCTAAAGTACCGGGTTGAAATTTTCAAGTCAGGGGCGCGGGATTGGATCAAATCACATAAACTGCAAAAAAAGCAAGTCTAATGGCGCATAATTGGTTCTGTAATAGCATTACACCAGGATAATAGCCCGTTACGGCCCCCTGCACTATTAAGTGCTTCCCTGGCGGAAAGCCTTTATGATATTAAAGGGGGAATATAATGATATTTTGGTTATTAAATGCGTGTAATTAATTTATGCACCACTGAAAATAAAGTTGGTATTATGACCCACTCAAGATGCATCAGAAAATACGAGTCAGACAACTGTTGATAAGTTCTGGTGTCTGTGTTCCGTCTAGACTGCCGATTTTATTTTGGGACGATGGCTTCTTGGACAGACTGCATAAATTGAATATTTTATAAACATTCTAATGCTGCGTTTGAGAGGCTTGGCGAAGCGGTGGGTCGGGTCCCTGCCCGGCCTGGGATTCAGCCTTGATCTTAAAGACACAGAGCTTTGGAAACAAAAGACCTGGCGGGCCCACTCGTGGACAAGCGCCCGGGGCGAGTAGCGCGGAGCTGGAGAACTGAGTGTTGAGGCCCTGGCCGGGCGATGGACACCTCAGGGAAAACAGCCAGGAAGAAACGCTGTACCGCTCAAGCCGACGCAAGTCGAACCTCTTTCACTGAAGCGGCCCTTTCTCGGCTCGGTCGCCTCTGGCCAGAATCGGCCCTGCTGGGAGCAAGGAAAGGCTGGAAATCCCTTCTCGGCTTGAAGCGGACAGACCCCGCCGCACCACCACTCCTCCAGGGCCACACACTCCGAGAGTCGTGGCGGCGGGCCCGGGTGGAAAGTGCGGGCGAGCCGGGTGGGCCCTCGCGGTGGATGGCGCGGCCAGCAGGGCAACGCACAGCTTCGAGGCCGAGAACAGACCCTTTCTCCGTCCCACGCCACTGCTGGCTCGCGGGCTCCGGCTTCCCTCCAGGTCCGGCTCAGAGAGCACCTCTGATCTCTGCAACCAGTTCCAGGAGCCGAAGGCCCCCCGAGTTCCGGACTCTGCCGAGAACCTTCTCGGACGCCCTCCTTCCTAGGGTTGCAGCTTCCGGCGGGCGCCCGGTGCGCTCCGGGAGTCCAGAGCCCGGGAAGAGAGGTGAGTCAGGGTTCCCGGCCAGCTCGGCTCAGCGCGCACTTGCGTTTCCCGCGGCCCCAGTAACCTAGAGCCGATTGCCACGTTGGCCCCAGAAAACAGTGACTTCCAAGCTTCGAATCAGCTCCCTGTCGCGAACAAGTAGCCGCGGAGGTTCCTATGAAACCCTGACCTGTCCCTGGTCTGAACAGTCTTGCCCCGGGTGTCTGAGCCTCTCTCCGAATCAGCCGACTGATCAGAACTTTGGACAGCGGCAAGCGTCGTAGCCCTGCCCAGCGTTTGCTGGCCAAAGAAGTCACCAGTCCCCAGGGCCCCTGTGGAGTCCTGCACTGCGCCGCGTCAAGGCCCGCGCAACCGATTCCAGACGATCCTAATCCTCTCCCAGTCTAAACCTTCGAAAGTTATTTGGGATGCGCGCTTAGTGCTGGGAGCAGGAAGAGAACTCCCGACTCTAAAGTCTCAAATGCACAGTGTCCTACCCGGTGGCTACAGCTGAGAAATACTCCATGACCCCCTTTCCTCCCGGTCCGGCCCTCTCAGCCCCCTTTCACGCGAGGCTGGCCACGTCCTTGGCTGGACAACCAACCCAGCTCCAGGAAAACACCCACCTTCCAAGGGGCTCCAAGTCAGCTCAGGACCCTCAGTCTCAATTCGCCTGATGTCCCTTTTCCGGAGCTATTGGGCTGGGCGCGTTCCTATGGCAAAACAGAGAATAAACAGCTAATCAAACAACTGCAGAAACGGAAAAGCTACAGTAAACTCTGATGACGTGAACCCCTTTCCCCCCAATTGCCTCTGATACTCGGGGCCCTGGAGAAGGTGACAGATTTCGTTATGGTCTCCCCTCACTAAAAAAGAGGTGGTGGGGGTGTGAGCTAGGAAACTCTTATTTTTCCTTAATTCTTGTGCGTTAAAATGTATTTCCCAATTAACTAAATTTGCCGATCTGTCCCGCTTGGACACTCTGATAATTTACAACCTAAAAGTGTACTTTCTTTATCTAAAGACCAAGGTGACTGCTTTTAATTTTCTCTAACCTCTTTACACTTGATGTTCACCAGACTCATAATGTTAATTGGCTTCATATACGGATCATCAGTTTAATGAAGAAATAAATCCTGTGTTGCTTTATGTTTTAACAGTGATTGCTTTAATGAGGAATGTGACGTGTTCCAAAATCAAAGCTGCAGGAGACATTAGATGGGACTTCTATTAGGGCAGAAATGCTTATTTAAACTTGAAACACGGGGTCATATTTCAACTCTTTTCTATTGCCCCCCCCCCCAGCTACCTGGGTTGCTTCCGGCCTCTACAAGGAGATGCTACTGTGGTTCTGAAGGTTTATTCTTGTAATATTTAACTTCATCAGCTTCAAGCTGCATTCTCTACAAGGATCATATTCTGGTTTTGTATGGGGCATGCTAGCTTACCTCTTGTCCAGCAGGGCATAGAGAAGCCAGAATAGAGTGGGGAGATCAACTTTCAAGGTTGTTCATGTTTTTTAAATAAAGGAGGAACACACACACACACACACACACACACACGATTTGCATCCAGATGCAATCTGAATCACAAGATGTGATTCAGAGAAAGCTTCCCCAGTGCTAACATATTCATAGCACTGGAAATCCAAGGCTGAGTTCTAAAAGGCAGACAGCTCCCAGATTAGAGGAATGGGCCACTGATGACCAGGGCTCTGCAGGGGAAGTGCTGGCCTCCCAGATGGTAGGAGCTTTACATCCCCTATCAATTAATAGAAGAGTAAATCTGCTTCCTCTAATGTGTGTTTGATTTTTCTAATTTTAAATTGGTTCTATTGAAGGGAAAGCTGTCATTGCAAAAACACTGAGAGCAGCAATAACATTCTGGAAATGGGAACGTCCTACATGCAAGACCTCGATTGTTTGCAGTTATGTTGTGAGTCATTTTAAATTGATTCCTGGAAAGAATCCTATATCCCTAGAAAATGGAGAAGTTTGGGATGCTGGTTTGAGATCGGAAGCACTTCTGTGCACATCCTGTGGTCCCTAACCCGTGAGTATATTCTGGACCTGAGAGCTCACCTGTGCTCAGAAGAGATATTGTTAGCTTCTTTTTTAAACGTTATCCTTAGAAAAACCAATTCCAGTAAACACCACTTAAATCCATAACAATAGGGGCAAATAAAATACTTCAATTAACCAGGAAAAAAAGAAAAAGTACGTTGAACTCCTAACTACTTACTTTTGGAGAGTCTAAGATACTTGCACTGTTAATTGGATGATAATCTTAGAGACCTTGTTTCCGTGTTATCCTGGGTGAGCACGCAGTGCTCCGGAAAGGGAAGGAAAGGTCAGTGTGTGTTCTGTTGTGTGTTTAGAGGGAATGAGCATCCTTTCTACTTACAGGCAAAGGTGGGGTTATTTTGTAGTTTTGAAAATGACCAATAAAGCTTGGGTCAGCTATACATGGTAGAATATGCTTTTTTTAAAAAAAAATAGTGGCTAATTGACATTCTGAATGAACAGTTAACTTATAAACAGGGTGTGTGTATAAAGGATTAGTTATGTTTTTTATTAGAAATTCTCTGTAACTCACAAGTTTATCTGTCATGTGAAAGCGGTAAAAGCTGTTGACAGGCAAACCAAGTTCTAATAATCTCCCTTGCCTCAGCTGGAGCTCCTGGCCTTG